TTTATTTAAATAAAAATGGGAATATAAGTAGGCAGTTTTAAAACTTCCCATAATATTCCCACTCAAACATAAACTCTAAAACCAGATTAATTAAATTAAAGTTAATAATAAAACAAATTATACGACACAAATTGCATATTTTAATATTTATATAAAGATAAATTAAAATTAAATATTTGAATGATCTTTTTTAAAATTGAAAAATTAAAAAGTAATAATTAAATTAAATTATATATTTAAATAAAAAGGAGAATATAAATAGGCAGTTTAAACTTTCCATTACACTCAAACACAAACTCTAAATCCTGATTAAGTAAAATTAGTAAATTAAACCAATTATATCACGAATTGTATTTCTTTTAACATATACAAATACTAAGAAAAATTCAACAATTTTAAAATTTAAAAAATAATTTAAAATTCTTTTATTAATGTATCTTAAATTAACCAAAAAGAAATAAAAAAGAGTAACCAACTAAAAAATTATTTTAAAACTAAATATTACAAATTGTATTTAAAAAAAAGATATATGTAATTACAGTTAATTAGAGAATACGTTATACTTTCCTTTACCAAATTTTCCAGAAGAAAAATATAAAGTAGATTAGTTAATAAAATAAATAGCCCATTTTAAAACATTAGTTGATGAAGCAATACTTATATACAATGTGAAAATTAATAATGAATGACTTTTTATATGTGATTTTGTTTAGTTTAATTTTGAATTAATAATTTTATACGGCTATGACATCATATGATGTAATGTATAATTACTATTTATTTCTCCGTTATTTTAGTCTATTATGAAGTTCCATTATCTTCTTTAGAAAATTCATATCTATTTTAATATAAGTTCAAATTAAAATTTAAAATATCTAATAAAGACATTGAGAAAACCGATTTTATATAGTATTTGTACTAACTAAGATTAGTTTTACCTTTAAATCATTTTTTCAATTATAAATAGCAAAGAATATTTAGAATAAAACATATGTTAAATATATCTACATGTCAATTAATCGTATCATAGTAACTATTTTATGTGAAAAGTTAGAATTATTTAATTGTTAACATAGAAAACAATTCAAACGGCATAAGAAGAATGAAGAATGAACACATAAAAATATTTGAAATAATTGATGTCTGATCAAGATAAAATAATCATAAATTAATATTATTCTTAGAAAAATTTACAACACAATATATGTAAAATTAAAAGACGTAGCTGATATAACTATAGAAATTATATTTAAATATTATAAAAATTAAATGGCACACTAATAACATTAATTTATAAGCTTAAATAAATAAGCTAATGATTTCTATTATTACTCCCCTATCCCATATTAGTTAATCATTTCCTTTTAACATGCATAGTAAGAAATCATAAAAATAAGATAAGTTTATTAATTCATCCCTTAAAAAATTTCTTGAAAATTTTACAAATAAATGTGAACACATTCAAATAGAATTATTTGCAAAAGTAGTATACAAAAAATTTAATTAATTCTTTCTTGATTTAGTAAATGGACAACTAATATGGAACAACTATTTTTAGTAAGATGATCAACTAATATGGAACTGAAGGAGTATTATTTAAATATAACACTAAG